GATAGCAGAAGGGGTACTCTAAGCATCCTCTCTCCCTTCTGTTTTGTTTTGTCCCCCTGCCCCCCAGAGGTTTTTACCTTAGGGCATCTGTGCTGGCAGGGGAGTGACAGAGAAAGTGTGAGGGAAAGTGAGAAATCATCCCCTCCCCAGGGGCAACAGCCACGCTGCAATCCCTTCTCACCCATGCTCCTCTCAGGATCTTGGGCATGCACCTGCGCCCAGCATGATTTTCAAGCCACGGCTGGGGACTTGAACCATGGTGGGCCATGTGGGAGTCCAGCAATATAGCCACCATTTGCTGCTTCCCCCTTTAACTGCACTGTCCGGTCCTGCCTTTTGGGGTGCCACCCCTAGGCACCTGGGCCTGTGCTACTCACCCCGACTTCCTTTTCCGCCTTGAGCTACCATTTTCCACTCCTGACTCTCAGACATCGCCACCTCCTAAGGTAATTGTTAGCCTCTGGGCCCTGCTCAGCCCCTAGCTAACAAAGGTTGTGAGTTGGAATTAGCGACCTTGGCGACCTGCAGTCCCCTTCCGTGTCCAAGTTTAGTTAGGTTTCCATGTACATTCCAAAGCCAGAAGGTAGATCGGGCCCAGGGAAGGCTCATCGAATCTGTAAATTTTTTTTCTATTAACACACAAGAGAAGGCAGGTACCTTCGGTGACCAACTTGGTATCGAGGCCAGGCACCAGATTTGTGCAGCCGCCCTCAGTTTGTGTTGAGGTGAGAACTGGAATTTGAGGAAGGACCCTGTAGTTTCCTTGAGGTTCTCTCACCAGTGGCTGCTTGCTGTTCGTGGCTTACATCAGCTTTCCTTCCCTGACTCTGAAAGGAAAAAGAAGGATTTTCCATGGTTCACACTGCCAGGCACACTTCCGTTCTGGGCAAGTAGCAAATCCTTCACACCGTCATTGTTCCTTGGGACTGAGTTGGGAACATGGTGAGAACGCTTGGGAGCTAGGTGGGGTGCAGAGGGACATGCCACTTTCTCTCCCTCCATCTTCTTTCGTTGCTAGGTCTTCAGGGTCCTGCCTTTTTCTGACTAAAACAACCGGCAGAGGCAGAGCGAATTCTCTCCCTGCTTGAGCTAGGGCCACCACCTCGTACCTCGGGTGGAGACTGGCACAAAATGTCTGTGGAATAAATAGAGAAGTGTGGATTTGGCCAGGCAGTGGCCTGGTGGTTACATACGCTGGATCCCACTTAGCTGACTTCACCGTACAAGTCCCAGACCCACAGCTTGGAAATAACCTGCCTGTTGCTGTGCATGCACACACCCAAACCCGATGGCGAAGGAATTGTGTGACCATTTCCCATGGGGATTGCTTTCTCACTATCACCCAAAGAGGAAAATGGAAGAGAAGGGATTGCAGTGTGGATCCCCAGGAGGGGTTATTTCTCCCTTTCTGTCTCTCTGCTGAGTATGCATGCCCTAAAAAAGCAAAAAATCTCTCTCTCTCTCAAAAAAAAAAAAAAAAAAAGTTTTGCCAAAGGTAAAATTAAAACTTTTTTTGATGGGAAAAAAGCATTGCTATTTCGGGCAGCTCTTCCACAAATGTGAAGTGAAAAGAAAATTAGAAGAATATATACAATAACAAGGAATTGTATGTCTAATAACATGAGAAAATGCTTATTTTATAAAGTTTGAAGAGGAAAAGTCAGAGTGCAAAATTGAATATATAGTACAATTCCAGAAATTTGCCAAGAAAAAATTTGAAAGGAACAGATTTATCTCTGGGTTGTATTTTTGTTTTGCCAAATTGTTAGCAAGGACCATATGTCAATTATCTTTTTAAAATAATTGTTTACTTAATTTTATTTATTATTTTTTCAAGAGTGTGTGTGTATGTGTGTGTATGTGTGTGTTTTGCTATAGGGTGCATGTACTCACTGGGGAGACAAAGAGAGACAGAGAGACAGAAAGCAAGAAATCACTCCCCAATAGCAATGGGGATGGCCACACCACAATCCGTTCTCCTCGATTTTCCTCTCAGGATTTTGGGCATGCATGCTCAGGTACCCAGTATAAGCTGCCAGGTCTGGGACTCAAACTGCAGATGACTATGTGAGAATCCAGTGAGGTAACCATTACGCCATCTACTAGTCCCTTATTATTTTTTAAATTTTCTTTATTATTTATTTATTTGTTCATAGTCCCTTATTATTTTTAAAATTTTCTTTATTATTTATTTATTTGTTCATTCATTCATTCATTTTAATTTGACCAGAGAGAGACAGAGAGAAAGAGAGGAGGTGAGAAAGCAAGCACCAGATTCAGGACTAAAACCATGGTCAGCCATGTGGGAATGTCCAGCACCTTAACCACCACGCCACCTGCTGGTCCCTATTTTTTAAATTTTCTATAGCGTATATGCACTCACCAGAGAGAGACAGAAAGAAAGTGAGAAAACAAGCCACCAGGTCCAGGATTCAAACCACAGTCAATCATGTGGGACTCCAGTGCCTTAAGCTCCAGGCCACCTGCTCGCCCCAGTTCTGTAATTTTCTTAAAGCTAAAGTTAAGTACCTTAATTCAGAGGGAACAGTATGTGGTAAATCAGACCTGGAAATCTCACAGTCATCAATTTTCTACTCGATGAACGCCTTCTAAGTCTTAGACCAAGTGGAGATATAGGATAATATTTCCACTGCTTTTTATTGCACAAGACTTAGCATTAGATACCTACAGGGGAATGCATTTTGCCCTATTTCATGAAAAATTTTAAATACAGACACACATAAGGATTTATAATAGTTGGAATTAATATTTTAGGTACATGTTTCCTCACTACCCCTTACCACATGAGAAAATGCTGTGAAAATATTGGCATATGCTAATCAGCTGCCCTAATCCAAGGAATTAGCAGATACCATTAAAAGGAAAATAAAAATGAAAAGCTTGACAGACATAAAATTCCTTTTAGAGATAGACTTTATTTATTAGTTTTGCTATGGGGTGCATGCACTTGAAGGAAAGAGACAGAATGAGAGAGTGGGAGCAGCAGATGGCATAGCAGTTATGTGGCTGGATTCCCACATGGCCAACCGCAGTTCAAATCCTGGCCCCAACAACTTAAAACTCATGCCAGGCATGTGTGTGTGCGTACTCAAAATCCTGAGAGGAGAATGGAGAAGGGATTGCAGTGTGGTCATGCTCCCTAGGGGGTGATTTCTTGCTTTCTGTCTCTCTGTCTCTGTTTCTCCAGCAAGCACACATGCCCTATAGCAAAAATCTCTCTCACAAAAAAAATTGTTAATACTGTCTATCAGGTTAAGGGTTAGAGAATGAAGAGTAAATTAAGATTAACATATTTATTTTATTGTTCTTATATTTCTTAGGTGCTCCAATAGCACTTTACCCATTTTTCTCCAGAAGCAATTGCCTATAGGGGAATGCCAGCAGGTGGTGTGGTGGTTAAAGCACTGGACTCCCACAAGGCTGACTGCGGTTCAAGTCTCAGACCTGGCAGCTTGCTTTCTCACTTTCTCTCTTGTCAAATTAAAAAAAAATAATAACAATGATCAGGACCAACAGATGGCATGGTGGTTAAGGTGCTCCCAACATGACTGATCACGGTTCAAGTCCTGGACCTGGTGGCTTGCTTTCTCACTTTCCCTCTTTCTCTCTCTGTCTCTCTCTGGTCAAACTAAGAATAAATGAACAAATAAATAAAATTAATTAAATAATTAAAATAATAATAATGATGATGAATAAAATGAAACAATGCTTTAAAAAATGTTTTTAAAGGGAACCAGCAGTTAGCGTAATGGCTATGTCACTGGACTCCCACGTAGTTGAGCGGTTTGCCTCCTGGACCCAGTGGCTTAAACTCACGCCGGGCACGTGTGCGTGCATGCCCAAGATCCCAAGAGGAGAATGGAAGAGAAGGGATTGCGGTGTGGCCATCCCCCCCTGGGGGGTGATTTCTCCCTTTCTGTCTCTGTCTGTCTGGTGAGCCCAGGAGCCCTATAGCAAAAAACCTCTCAAAAAAAAAAAAAAAAAAGTTTTTAAAGAGTTACTATAGGGGGCCAGCAAGTAGCATAGTGTTTATGGTACTGGAGACCCAAACGGCCAACTGCAGTTTGAGTCCTGGAACTGGCGATTTACTTTCTCACTTTCTCTTGTGAGCATACTTGCCCTATAGCAAATTTTAAAAGTAAATAAATAAAAAAAGAATTCTTTGGGAAAAATATAGTTACTATAGTTAATTGAATGTATGTTAACCCATTCGACTGGGGTTGGACCAGCTCTGGTGCTCCCCCCAACCCCCCCAATTCCAGACACCGACCACAGTGCCTAGCATAATAGGTGCTCACTATGTTTGATGCATCTTTGAGCTGAGATTTGTTCAGACAAGATCCTAATCAAAGCGGAGGCGCCCTCAGCGGGTTTATAGACCTGGAATATTATGTTCAGCCACAGAGCCAGGCTGCAATGATCGTAGCTCTTCCAGCACTTTATTTCCTTAGCTCTAAAACTCCAGCGGTCAGGCGGCATGTGTGAAGCATTGAACGCCCTCTGTCAAGCAGAAATTTTAAAACTGGATCATAAAATAAATACTGTGGATTACAGCCAGTTTAAAAAAAAAAAAAGCAGCAGCTAAGTATATAAAAATTCAAAGATCAATGCTGTTTTGTCAACTTTCATTTCCAGTACTTTATGTGTGGATTGGGTCAGGTTGCAAAAATGACTCATGTTTACGAATTTAGGTTAAAAACATTTCCTAGACACTGACACGCGGGGTACACCAAGTAGGAGTTCAGCACGGAGGCGCTAAGCGTGAGCGGGGAAAGTCCCATGATTGAAAAGGCACAAGCTAGCTGCGCCTAAATTAGCGCCGGCAGCTCCCACGGTTAAGAGAGGGCTGGCCACGCCCTGAAGGCGGCCGTGAAGGACCCATAACGCTCGCTGACCAATGGCCGTGTAGTAAGGGCGGGGCGGGGCGCCGGCAGGGGCGGGGCGAGCCGCGCGCGGGCTCCTTAAGTAGCGGCTGCGTGTGTGTCCCGGCGGGCGAGGCTTACGACGGCAAGGTTGGGCGAGAACCAATTGAGACGTGTGAGATCTTCTCAGGACATGTCTACACCGCGAGCAGGAGCCAACGCCCCCCTCTGGGCCTCTGCTTCCCGGCGAAGCGCGACAGTGTCCCGAGCTCCGGAGAGGAGGCCGACGGAGGAGTCGAGTTGGGGTGTTAGTCGAGGAGGCAAGGATGGCGGCTGGAGAGCCTCTGGGCTCCCGGAGTCTGTGGCCTCGGGTTGCCGGGAACCGCCTCTCTGCTTTGGACTGAAGAACGACTTAGTCGGCGTGGTGATCGGTGAGAGCAAAGGAGTGGACTGAAGCGACAGGCAGGGCCAGGCTGGGAATGCGTGTGGTCGGAACAGAGGGCAGGGTCTGGGCAGGGGTATTCCTCGCCCCACCAGCCTTGCTTCCAATCAGCTGCCACCTGAGATTCTCGAGTCATTTCTTAGACTTTCTGATGCTAGAATAATCCCATTTAATGCAGTTTTTGATATTATATAGATATAAATATGTATATATTTGGTGTTTGGGGGAGAACAACACCTAAAAGATTTAGAAACTTGGAGATGGAGATGCTAAAAAGATCAGGACTTTTGACAGAGAATTTGCCCCAAAATGAACAAAACAGTATTGACGTCAGTCTGCATTTTTAAAAAAATAATTACTTATTTAATTCCACTTGTTGTTATTATTTTTGTTATTTAACCAGAGATACACAGAAAAAAGGAAAGTGAGAAAGCAGGCCATCAGGTCCAGGACTCAAACTGTGGTCATCCACTTAAGAGTCTAGTGCCTTAACCACCATGCCACCTGCCAGCCCTCATCATCAGTCTGCATTTTAAATTTTTATTTATGTATTTTATTATTTTTAATTTGACCAGAGAGACACACAGAAAGAGAGAGAGGGAAAATGAGAAAGCAAGCTGCCAGGTCCAGGACTCAAACTGTGGTCTACCATGTGGGAGTACAACATCTTAACCATCATGCCACCTGCTGATCCCATCAGTCTGCATTTTTAGTATTTTTGAAACGTACTTTAAAAATGGTTAGAGGAGGAACCAGCAGTTAGCGTAATGGCTATGTCGCTGGACTTCCGCGTAGTCGACCGCGGTTCACGTCCCGGACCCGGTGGCTTAAAACTCACACTGGGCGCGTGTGCGTGCGTGCCCAAGATCCCGAGAGGAGAATGGAGGAGAAGGGATTGCGGCGTGACCATCCCCAACCGCAGTTCACGTGCCGGACCAGGTGGCTTGAAACTCATGCTGTGCGCGTGTGCGTGCGTGCCCAAGATCCCGAGAGGAGAATGGAGGAGAAGGGATTGGGGCATGACCATCCCTGGGGGGTGATTTCTCGCTTTCTGTCTCTCTGTCTGTCTCTGTCTGTCTGGCAAGTGCACGCACCCTACAGTGAAAAAAACTCTTCAAAAGAACCAAAATGGTTAGAATGATGGTCTCATTTATTGCTGTTTTTAAACAAGAATTATTTATTTAATTCCACTTATTATTATTTTTTGAGAGGTTTTTGCCATAGGGCACGTGCACTCGCCAGACAGAAAGAGACATACAGACAGAAAGCAAGACATCAACCCCCAGAGGGGATGGTCATGCTGCAATCCCTTCTCCTCCATTCTCTGAGAATCTTGGGCACGCACGCACACGCGTCCAGCGTGTTTTAAGCCACCGGGTCTGGGATACGAACCGTGGTCGACTATGTGGGAGTCCAGCGACATAGCCATTATGCTAACTTCTGGTTCCCTTATTTTTTACTTTGACTAGAGAGAAAGGGAAAGTGAGAAAACAAGCCTTCAGGTCCATGACTTGAACTGTGGATGGCCAAATGGGAGCCCAACACCTTAACCACTATACCACTTGCTGGCCCCTCATTTATTGCTGTTGAGTATAAATTATAAAATTTGTCATTAGGTATGGGAGTTATGTATGAACTGCCAGAAGGCTATTGCCAGAAAAAGAGAAAGAGAAAGGAAGCTCCCTTCCCCCCAATGGATCATACCAGAATTTTTTCTCCATTTCTCCACCCTGTTGGGACCCTGAGCACACATACACACATGCTTGGCATGTTTTTCAAGCTGTCAGGGCCAGGGATCTAGCTCCTTTAGTCATTAGGCTACTAGGACAGCTTAGTGTGACATTAATATTTTGTTTTACCTTTCCTGTTCTAAGAATACGAACAGATTTCGTAGGCTATCATTAAATAAGGCTGATTGCCCCACAGGAAACTTGGGCTCAAAATATCTGAAAACTGATAGTTAATAAGAGAAAGCCACTAGATTTGCAATAGTTGCATAAGCTTTCAACACCTAATTTAGTAGCTATGAAGTGCAGGCACTGTGCTATGGAGTACTCACTTGATGTTCCATCTGGATCCAATTTTTTATTGTTTTAAAGCCCCATAAATTCACCTTACATTTTTAAATGTACAGTACTGTGTTAACAATAAGCAGTATGAGACCAGCAGATGGTGTAACGTTTACATCGCTAGACTCCTGCATAGTTGACTGCGATTTTTAAGTCCAGGACCCAGCAACTTAAAAACTCATGCCGGGCACGTGTGCGTGCATGCCCAAAATCCCAAGAGAATGGAGGAGAAGGGATTGTGTGGTGGCCAACCTTCCAGGGAGTGATTTCTTGCTTTCTGTCTCTCTGTCTGTCTCTCTAGCGAGATCACACGCCCTATAGCAAAAATCTTATTATTAAAAAAAAGAAATAATAAGCAGTATGTACCCTCATCTATGTAGAACTTGCATGACTAAAACTATAGCCATTGAACAGTTCATTTTTCCCTGCCCCGTCCCTGACAACTACTATTCTATGTTCTGTTACTGAACTTGGTTATGTATCTATATTAATAGAATCATGTTACAACTGGTCTTTTTGTGATCAACTTATTCACTTAGCATAATGTCCTCAAAGTTTATCCATTTTATAGCATGTGACAGGATTTTCTTTTTAAGACTGAATGTTTCATTGTTTTGTATATACCATGGTATTTCTTGGTATTTGCATTGCTTCCACCTTCTGACAGTTGAGAACAGAGCTGCTATGAACAAGTCTGTGGGCAGAGCGAACATCAGTACATGATTTCTTTTAATGACTGAACTTTTTCCAGTGAATGTATACCATTTGTCCATTGATGGACACTTGGGTTGCTTCTACCTTTCAACTATTCTGTAAAATGCTGCTATGAAGTGGTTGTGAAATACCTCTTTGAGAGCCTGCTTTCAATTCTTTTGGATGTATGTATACCCAAAAGTGAGACTTCTGAATCATGGTAGTTTTATTTTTAGTTTATTTTTCTTTATGAGAGAGAGGGAAAAGGGGAGAAAGACAGAGTCTGTAATTTCTTTCATGAGAGAGAGAAAGATGCACACCTAAGTGGCTCCTGAGACCATGGTCCACCCTCACCCTCAGCCAGCTCACACAGGTCCATGTGTGCAGTCTCAGCATGTACAAGGAGCCCCTAGGGTGAAAGACCGTGGCCTTCCCATGTTGGCCTGGCTGCATTAGCATTACCACTGCGCCACCATCTGGCCCTCACTGCGATTTTGAATTGCATTTACCCAAGTAGAGAGGTTTAGCATCTTCTCATATATCTTTTGGCCATGTATATGTCATTGGAGAAATGTTCATTTATTTCTTTGCCTATTTTTTAAACTAAAATTTTGTTGCTTTTTGAGTTGTAGTACACAAGGATTCCCATTTCTTTATGTTTTAAAAATTTGCCTGAGAGGGGCCGGCAGGCGGCATGGTGGTTAAGGGTGCTAGACTCCCACATGGCCGACCACAGTTCATGTCCTGGACCTGGCAGCTTGCTTTCTCACTTTTCCTTTCTCTCTCTCCCACTCTGTCCCTCTCTGGTCAAATTTAAATAAATAAATAGAATAATGTTTAAAAAAAATACATATACAGTGCTTACTGTAGAAACACAGAAAGTGAGAAAGTAACTTTCTTCTTCCATGGAGGATGGTCACGCCACAGTTCTTTCTCCTTTCAGCATGGGTGCCTAGCATGTTTTTCAAGGTGCTGAGTCAGGGATTCAAACCAAGAAGCTAACCTTGTGATCCAGCTGACTCAACCACCAGGCCACTGACTGGCTTAGGATTCACATTTCCCCACACCCCCTCCAGCACTTTGGATCTAATTTTTGTGGGGGCCAATACAGAATCCTTTCTTTATTTTGGGCAAGATATGGAGGAGGTTCTTTGAGGAAAGTAGAGGAATCTCTTTATTGACTTCAGTTTATAATCATGTATATTTTAAAAACAGGTCGTGGTGGGTCAAAAATAAGAGACATCCAAAGTACAACAAATACCAGGATTCAGGTAAGCTGGCTCATGTTCACAGACCCCAAAAGAGCATAATTCCTTCCTAAGTGAGCTCCTAACTAGCTTCTACTCAGCTAGTAATATACTGTGGTGATTTAGTTAAATTTCCAAAGCTCTTAACACAGCCATTCTCAACCTGTTCCAGGTGTAGCTTTTCTGACTCTTGGGGATATAAACCTTCAGAGATAATCTTCCCTTACAAATGAGATCTCTGGGCTATTCCTCATGCTCCAACTGATTCCCTTTCTACTTTCCTCATGCTTATTGACCTGGGTCTTGTCTATTTCCTATGCTTTTCAAGGGAATTGCCATCATTTGCACTCTCTCTTGTCTATCCTGCCTCCACTCTTGTCCCTCTAACTAGTTATATTTTCCATTATGGTCAGAGCTATCTTTCTCAGACACAAATTATGCGTTCACAACTCTTTCGTGAAAATCTATGGTATTTCAGACTCCTTCGCGTTGTTCACTTGATCTGGCCTATTTTATTAACCTTTTCAACCCCTGTTTCCCCTGCTGCCTTCCCTGCTCCCCAAAACTACCATCTACTTTCGTACACACTCTCCTATCATAGATGTTCTCATAGGTAAGTGCTACTTATGTTTTAGGTTAGCTTAGTTATTACTTCCTCAGGGGAGTCTAAGGCCTGCTTCTGCATTTTGTGCAGATGTCCCAATTTTTTTTTCTTTTTTTGGCACTTTGTTATAAAGCATGTGATCTCACCTGAGAGACAGAGAATAAGAAATCACCCCTGTGGTGAAATCACCCATGCACAGTCTTCTTACCATTCTCCTCTAGGGACTTTGAGGGCACACACACACACACACACACACACACACCTGGCATGTTTTTCAAGCTGTTGGGTCCAGAGCTCGAACCATGCAGTCAGCAATGTGGGATCTAGCCACCTTCATGCCAGCAGCTGGCTGCTGCTTTTTAATCCTCTCAGAAGCTCCTAATTGCCTCCTTTCAGCATTCACAGTTGTATGTTTCTTTAAGTCATGCAAATGATAAACATTGTTTGAATCACCAGCCTAAACAGCATTTGTTATATAGTAGTTTCTTTTTTAATTTTTTAAAATTTAATTGAATTTTTTTTTTTTTAGAGGTTTTTGCTATAGGGCGCGTGTGCTCGCCAGGCAGACAGAGAGAGACAGAGAGAGAGAAAGCGAGAAATCACCCTCCCGGGAGGATGGCCACGGTTCAATCCCTTCTCTATTCTCTCAGAATCTTGTGCATGCACACACACACACCCAGCATGAGTTTAAGCCACTAGGTCCGGGACTCAAACCATAGTCAACTACATGGGAGTCTAGCGATATAGCCATTACGTCAACTGCTGGTACCGTTATATAGTAGTTTCTAAACAAATACTAAATCATTGAGAGCGTCTAAAATTGTGTATGCTTAAAGGTGTTACTTATACTTTGATCCTGAATTTTTTAATATCAGCCTGTCATAAACTTATGTCCATAACAGTATACATGTTTAAATATAGAATCCCATCAAGCGGGGCCGGCAAGTGGTATGGTAGTTCAGGGTGCTGGACTCTCACATGGCCAACCGTGGTTCAAGTCCCAGACCTGGTGGCTTTCTATATCTCTCTTTCTCTTTCTCTCTCTCTTTCTCTTGCTCTCACTCTTGCTGTTGCTCTCCCTCTGTCCCTCTCTGGTCAAATTAAAATAAATAAATAAAGTTAAATAAAATAATTCTTTTAAAAATAATCCCTTCAAGCTAAAATTTACATAATAAACTGATAATGTAATAAGTTCTCATCTATATAACATATAGGTTAATTCACTCCAGTCTTAAGAATTTTGTAAGATTAGCCAAACAAGTACAATATTAACAGTTTTTTGATAGAGAACTCAGACTCAAAGTAATAGCCTTAAATTTCACTCTAACACCACTTGCTGAATTACTCCCTTGTTATCACTTGTTTAAAGATTGTCTTGCTCTTCACCATCTATGCTAGAGATAAATCCCAGAGTGGATATCAGTAATATCCCCCTGAAACTGGATGTTGAGACATCGGTTGACAACAGTATTATATTTACTTCGTACTTTCATGCTATTTGAAGCTTCGTAATTGTTCGTGCAAGATGAAAGGCCTTCAGTCTCACCTATGTTTCCTCTTGTATCTAGATAGTAAAAGGGTATCCTGAGGCACAAGTCAAAATTTTTGGCAGCAAGGCGATGCAGACGAAAGCAAAGGCAGTGATAGATAATTTTGTTAAAAAACAGGAAGGAAATTACAGTCCAGAATGTCAAGTTGGTAAGTAATTTCTGCCTTCTGAAGCCCTTTAAAAATGATACGCTAGGGAACCAGCAGTTAGCATAACAGCTATGTCGCTGGACTCCCACGTAGTCGACTGTGGTTCACGTCCTGGACCTGGTGGCTTAAAACTCACGCCGGGCGCGTGTGCGTGCGTGCCCAAGATCCTGAGAGGAGAATGGGGGAGAAGGGATTGCGGCGTGACCATCCCCCCGGAGGGTGATTTCTCACTTTCTGTCTCTATGTCTCTCTCTGTCTGTCTGGTGAGCGCACGCGCCCTATAACGAAAACCTCTCAAAAAAACAAAAAAGAATGATATGCTTCTTTCAATGTTGAAAGTCATTATAACAGGTTCTTCTCCTAACAGGGGGATTAGATTACCATAAATCTATCTAGTCTTGTAGGTTTTTTTTTTCCAGTGGAAGCCCAGAACACTTTTCCCTCAAGTTTAGTTAGTACTATGCAATCTCTGTGGTTAAGCCTAGCAGTTTTATTTTAAGCCACAGTTAAGTGTAAATGAATAACCTTTAATACATTTACTTTAGTATCAATGGTAGGTTAATAATTGATCCCAGACTCCTGACTCTAGTCTCTTCCCTAGATCTATGACTGGCATTGGAAAGTGCTTTTCAAAAAATCTTAGATCTGTTTAGACTAGAGAAAAAACCATTATTGAATCTTATCGAGAAATAGCATGAAAGCAAAAAGAACAGAGAGACTTAGGTGCAGATGGCAGTATTGTCTCTTAGTGTTTCTTGGAAAGGGACTTAACTTCTAAGATCTGGAGAGGAGAATGCAGGAGATGGGATTGGGGTGTGGCCATCCGCTGACCCCCCAGGGTGATTTCTCGTTTTCTGTCTCTGTCTCTCCGGCAAGTGCACACACCCCGTAGCAAAAACCTCTCTAAAAAAACAACAAAAAGTAAATTATGTGATGTTATGTTACCTTTTTTTTAGGAATTATTTATTTAACATTATCATTTTTAAAATTTATTTCATCTTATTTATTAATTTATTTTACTTTTATGAGAGAGAGAGAGAAAGTGAGAAACCAAACCACCAGGTCCAGGACACAAACTGTGGTCAGCCATGTGGGAGTCTACTACCTTAACCACCACAACACCTACTGGCCCCTCATTTTTCTTTTTTTGTTTGTTTTAACTTGCTACAGGGCATGTGCATTCACCAGAGAGAGACAGAGAGAAAGTGAGAAAGCAAGCTGCCAGGTCTGGGACTTGAACCACAGTCAGCCATGTAGGAATCTACCACCTTCACCATCACACACCTGCTATTTTAAAGTTTATTTATTTCTTCCATGATAGGGAGATAGAGAAAAAGAAACAGAGAGACGGGGATCCCCCCAACAGGATCTTGACCCAACCTAGTCTCAGCTGTCCCACGTAACAGCACACACAGGGCCTTGGGTGTGTGCTCTGGGAAGTCTACAATGCGACCTCTCCCATGCGAGTCCAGCTGCATTGCTGTTGCACTGCCACCTGGTCCCATGTCATAACACTTCAGCACACACTAGAATCCCTGACTGTTTTCCTTCTCTTCTCTGATTATGAAGATTTTAGTAAATTGATAAGTGATGATAAGAACCCTGACATGGTGCTTTAGTAGAGAAACCCCAAGTTTTATATTTCAAGCATTATCTGGTTATTGAAAAAAAAAAGAAAATGCAAAAGTAACTTTTGGAATTTTGTACTGGCAGGATTTATTCTGAAACTAATTCCACAAAAATATTTTAAACAGATATTGTTGCATTCCAACCTTCTTTTGGAAGAGATGTAAGCATAGATGACGGTGTTATTACAGAAGATCAGCCATTGATTGATTGGGATCAAATTCGTGAGGATGCTTTGAAATGGGAAAAAAAAAAGTGGGCAGGTCAGTGCTGCATCATAACATATTCACATGGTATTGGTGTTTCTTTTAACTGCAATTTTTTGTTTTGGTTTGGTTTGGTTTTTTATTGCCAGATGGTTAGATGGTGCATGCATTGGCCGAAGAGAGAGAGGGAAGGAGGAAGCACCCCTTTCTTGGGACACGGTCATGCAGCAGTATCCCTCCATTTCTCTCCCGTCAGGATGTGGACATGTACACACACACCTTGTGTGTTCCTTGGGCTGCTGAGGTCAGGATTTGCACTGTGGCCAGCCACGTGGGATTCCATTCCCTTAATCACTAGAGTACAACACTGGCCCTGCAGTTTTTTATTTTTTTTAAGAGCACACACTTGCAGGAGAGCAAGAAATAGGAGAGGAAGCACCCTGAAATGGAGCATAGCCATGCTGCAGTCCCTTCTGTAGTTCTCCATTCTGCTGGGATTTGGGGCACACACTTATGTGTTTCTCAAGGCAATAGGACAGGGATTTGAACTGTGGTCAAGCAGGTGGGATCCAATTCCCTTAACTACTAAGCTACAGGGCTGCAATTATTTATCTTGGTTTGGTTTTAATTTTTGTCCTCTTCTTCCTAGTTTTTCTATATAAAATGTCTGCCCTATTTTCCTAGTGAAATCTATATGGAAAATAGTACAATTTTGAGAGTTTGTGTGTGTGAAAGTGTGTGCGCTCACTGGGGACAGGGAGTGGGAATGGGGAGAGACAGAGAGAGACAGAGAGAAAGTGAAAAAGCACCTCGTAGGGGGATGATCATCCCCAGTCACCTTGTCCTTCATTCTCCTTTTGGGATTTTGAGCACACATGCTTATGTGTCCAGCTTGTTTTTCAAGCTGCCAGGTCCTGGACTCGAACCATGTAGACTACCATGTGGGATCCAGCCCTCTTAACCCCCCATGCCACCAGCTTACCCAAATTTTAAATTTTGTAATTAGTCCCTAGGTCATAATTATGTCTACATCTGTGCTGTGATTTACACTGTAAATGGAAAATTTAATATTAAACTTATTTATGCCTTGTTTTATTTGAGGTTAACTCACTGATAGTAAGAGGCTAATAAAATAGAAAGGCCCAAGGGAAAGATGCGAAGGAAATAAATAATGCCAACTGTAGGTTAACACTGTTGCCATGACTGAGTAAAAATTGATCTTGGGGGACCAGCAGTTAGCGTAATGGCTATGTCGCTGGTCTCCCATGTAGTCGACCACGGTTCGCATCCCAGACCCGGTGGCTTAAAACTCACGCTGGGCGCGTGTGCGTGTGTGCCCAAGATCCCAAGAGGAGAACGGAGGAGAAGGGATTGCGGCATGGCCATCCCCCCTGGGGGCTGATTTCTCGCTTTCTGTCTCTCTGTCTGTCTCTGTCTGTCTGGCGAGTGCATGCGCCCTATAGCAAAAACCTCTCCAGAAAAAAAAAATTTAAAAAAATTGATCTTGGCATGTCCTGCTGACAAGAGCAAAATAAAAGGGAAAGCCACTAACTCATAAGAAGCAGTGACAGTTCTTGAGACTGGGTTGTTTGACTTTTAAATGAAATTCTCACTTTGAATGGTATATGTGAATGAGGCAGCAATACAGTGTCGTTTATTTAACATTAAAAGTGTAATACGCTCGGGAACCAGCAGTTAGCGTAATGGCTATGTCACTGGACTCCCACATAGTCGACCGTGGTTCGCGTCCTGGACCCAGTGACTTAAAACTCACGGCGGGCGCGTGTGCGTGCATGCCCAAGATCCCGAGAGGAGAATGGAGGAGAAGGGATTGCTGCGTGGCCATCCCTCCTGGGGGTGATTTTTCGCTTTCCGTCTCTCCGTCTCTCTCTGTCTGTGCACACGCCCTATAAAAAAAATCTCTCCAAAAAAAAAAAAAAGTGTAATACGCTCTTGTGACGTTTTAACTGATTTCTGCCACTGCTGGTCAGCACCTCTGCGTGTTCCCAATGCTGTTTCGGCAGTATATGTGTTAGCAGTTTGAGATGGGGGTTTAGCGGAAAGATTTAAGTTTGGAAGTGGTATGACAGGCATTTAAGAAATACAGCTTCAGAGGCTAAAAGAAGTATATACATTTAATTTCAAAAAAGTAATGGGGACTAGCAGATGGCATAGTGGTTACGTTGCTAGACTCCCATGTATCGACCGTGGTTTGAGTCCCAGACCAGGTGGCTTAAAACTCACACAAGGCACCTGTGCGTGCCCAAAATGCCAAGAGGAGATTGTTGGAGATGGGATTGCAGCATGGCCATCCCCTCTGGGGTATGATTTCTCATTTTCTGTTTCTCTGTCTCTTTCTCCAGAGAGTGCACATGCCCTATAGCAAAAACCTCTCTTAAAAAAAAATAATAATAATGGGATGGACCTTAAAAGAAAGAATAAAATCAATCTTTTATGTTTGAGAGAAGATAAACCATCTCAATTGCAGTGCTATTATGTCTCATAAAGTGTGCTTGCTTTTATTTTCAATATTAAAGATCTTTTTGTTGGGTGAATAGCGGAATTAAAATCAAACAGCAAAAAAGTTGCAAGGAGGGGGTTTATGACAGAATTTATAACAGGTACTAGGACATAGGAAGATAAAGGGAAGAGGCTACGGGATGGTGCATCAGAGCAGAGTTTAAAAAATGGACTATTAGTAGAACTAATAAATGCGTACCCCATAATGTGATCTCCGTTGTTAAAGAAGGTGAATGTGGGTATTTCCTTGGTTTGTTTATAGCACGCCATATACATGCCTTAAAAAAACACACTGTAACTCACAAAGATATTCATACATTGAATATGTATAACCCAGAAGTCATAATTTTAGAAAAGAGAGATCGTTAAGGCTGACATAAGTCCGGATACCAAAGTACAAAACTGTCTAAATTTTGTCAGTATGCCTGGTGAATTTAATATACATATTAGTTTGATTTCTGTAGCTTTGAATAAGTGCTAATGAAATGTAAATTATCATTATTGATCAGAGTTTGGATATTCATTTTTGTCCTAGATTTACCTCCAATTAAGAAAAACTTTTACAAAGAGTCAACAACAACAGGCTCAATGTCACAGGTACAGGTAGACAACTGGAGGTGGGTAGTTCCATTACCTCACTGAGGATTTTTTTTTTTATAACTACATTACTAGTATTAACTCTTTAGGAAAAAATGTGAAATGAGGGACCAGCAGATGGTGTAATGTTTCCACTGCTGGACTCCCACATAGTTGACCACGGTTCAAGTCCCAGACCTGGTAACTTAAAACTCGTGCCAGCATGAGTGCATGGGTGCCCAATATCCCAAGAGGAGAATGGAGGAGAAGGAACTGTGGCATAACCGTCACCCCTGGGGAGTGATTTCTCACTTCATGTCTCTCTGTCTCTCTGGCAAGGGCATGTGCCCTATAGCAAAAATCTTTCTCAAAAGAAAATAAAAAGTGAAATGAGGGACCAGCAGTTAGCGTAATGGCTATGTCGCTGGACTCCCACGTAATCGACCACTGTTTGAGTCCCGGACCCGGCGGCTTAAACTCACTCTGGGCGCGTGTGTGTGCGTGCCCAAGATCCCAAGAGGAGAATGGAGGAGAAGGGATCATGGCGTGTCCATCCCCCCCGGGGGGTGATTTCTCACTTTCTATCTCTCTGTCTCTCTCCCGGTCTGGCGGGCCCACGGCCCCTATAGAAAAAAAAAAAAAAAAAAAAAAGGTGAAATTATTGCATTTGAATACTTTATCTTCCATGTTTATTCAAATGAAAACTTGATAGCATCCCACACAGTTTTTAGAGCACCGCTGTCCAAAAAGACTTTCTGCAATGATGGAAAATGGTCTATATTTGTTTCTAATAGAGTAACCACAGATAGCTAGTGAGCATTTAAAATATGGCTAGTGTAACTGAGGAACTGACTTTTTCTTTTAAGTATTAAGTTTCTTTTATTCTATGAGAGAGGAAGAGAGGCATCCCCAGTAGGATTCTCACATCATGATCTGCCGCATAATCTCACACGTGCCCAGCTTGTGCGGGGTGGCCTTGGGGTGCACTGTGGGACCTTCCCACATGGACCCAGCATTATAGACTATTACGTAACCCCTGCACCACCAGCTGGCCTCTGAATATTTGTCTCAGTTTTAAATTTGAATAGCCACGTGTGGCTAGTACCTGCTGTATTAGACAGAACAGGTTTTTTGTTGTTGTTTTTTTTTGTTTTTTGAGAGAGGTTTTTGCTTAGGGCACATGTGCTTGCCAGAAAGACAGAGAGAGACAGAAAGCAAGAAATCTCCCCCCAGGGGGGATGGCCATGCTGCAATCCCTTCTCCTTCAGTCTCCTCTTGGGATCTTGGGCACGCACGCACATGTACCGGGTGTGAATTTAAGTCACCAGGTCTGGGACTCGAACCTCAGTCGACTACATGGGAATCCAACAACATAGCCATTATACCAACTGCTGGTCCCATAGACAGTACAGTTTTAAACAAGTACTTCTCCAGCAGTTGAAAATTTTAAAACTTATCTGATCTGTATTAAAATAATTTCTTTTTTTTTCTTTTTTTGGATAGTTTCTTGCTATAGGGCATATGCGCTTGCCAGACAGACAGAGAGAGACAGAGAGACAGAAAGCGAGAAATCACCCCCCAGGGGGATGGCCACGCCGCAATCCCTTCTCCTCTTGGGGTCTTGGGCACGCACGCACACGCACCCGGCGTGAGTTTAAGCCACCAGGTCCGGGACGTGAACCACGGTCGACTACGTGGGAGTCCAGTGACATAGCCATTACACTAACTGCTGGTCCCAATAATTTCTTAAATTCTTCCTACCTTAAATGGAAAATTAGTTGTTGAAGATAACATGTGTGATAATATCTTTAATTGACCCAATATACAATGTAGCCTGAATGGGAAAATTCATTTTGTATGCTGTAATGGTATACCATACCGTGAATGAATGTAAAATAAATAAATATAATTTTTAAAAGTTCTTCATATCTTTTTATTTGAAATGGAAGGTTTTAACAGAAGATGTTTGTTTTACTGTCAAAGTCTGTTATAAAACTAAAATAGTATGGTTAGCAAAAAGATGGTTGAGTTAGTGCTTTGGACAAGTAACTAATATTATGATCATTTTTCAAATGAGGATAATTCCTACCACAGTTATTAAGGATTAAAGATATGTGTGGAGTGGGGCTGGCAGGTGGGGTGGTGGCTAAAGGCACTGGACTCCCACTTGGCTGACCGCGATTCAAGTCCTAGAACTGGTGACTTGCTTTCTCACTTTCCCTCTGTCTCTTTCTCTCTCTGATCACATTGTAAAATAATAATAATAATAAAGTTAAATAGAATAATTCTTTTTAAAAATACGTATGAAGCATTGTGGGCCAAGTGTCTGTCAAATTTGCTTTTGAATTACGAGGCATGATTTTGATACTCCATTCTTCATCAGCTTTCTTCCATGAAACATTGATCTGTTAGTTGTATGTATAATTTAAGCTGGTTTTCATTCCCTCTGAACTGTTCTCAGGTAAGAGGAAGATTGGCTCTTGTTTCTGTTTTCTAGTGCCTTTCATGTAACTTTCTTAACAGTCTGGTTTTAACCAGTTGCAGCTAATTTCTCAATACGAACTGACTAATTTTGGGGAAAAAGTCTTTCTTGGGGCAGTAAAATGACCAAAGTTACTAATCCTCATTGTATTTTGCTTTAAAGGAAGGAAAATTTTAATATAACGTGTAATGACTTGAAAGATGGTGAGAAACGTCCCATTCCCAATCCTATCTGTACATTTGAAGATGCCTTTCAAGGTTTTCCTGAAATTCTGAAAAGCATTAAAAAGGCAGGTTTTCAAAAACCAACACCAATTCAGGTATATGTTCCTTAATTCTAATACTTCATTTAAAAAAAAATTACCTGAGAGAGTAAGAGAGAGGAAAATGAGGAAGCACTCCCCAGGGGGATGGCCATGCTGCAGTCCCTTCTTCATTTCTCCCTCTTATCAGGATTTTAGGCACATGTACACATGTGTGGCATATGTTCTGAGCCACCAGGCCCAAGACTCAAACTGTGCTGTCAGCCATTCGAGATCCAGCCATAGTAGCTACCATGCCACTGACTGGCCCAAATGATCTGTCAATGCTTATTTTTTTCACCCAAACAAGGACATCACTGGGGAGCAACTATCCCTGACTAGCATTCTCTCAGTACCACCCACGTAGCACAGGACCACCAAGGCCTAGCACTCAAATGTATGTTAAGAGAAGTTTGGAGCTAGGAGAGGAGGGCCAGTTGGCAAAAAGAGATTTACTCTTTTGTTTTAATATTTATCATTCTGTTTCAGTCACAGGCCTGGCCGATAGTCCTACAAGGAATAGATCTTATAGGAGTGGCCCAAACTGGAACAGGGAAGACACTGTCCTATTTAATGCCTGGATTTATTCATCTGGACTCTCAACCAATGTAAGAATCCCTACAGCTGGGCTCTCTTTACAAGGTTTCATATATAGATCTGAATAATGCAACTTTAGTTTCTTCCACCTATCAATATGGGTTAGAAGATCGTTTTTAGTCAAGGAGGATGCAGGCAAGAGTACACTTATACTGTGCTAGTGCAAGTATAAATTGGCAAAACATTTTTTGGAGACAGGAGGTTATAGCTACCAAACTTCCAGTAGTGAAACATAGGCAACAAATTGTTTAAATTATCATATCCAATAAAATTTTCTATTCAGTTAGAAAATGTTTGCTATTCTAATCATTTATTTATATGTTTGTTTTTTGCCTTAAGGGGCATATGCTCTAGGGAGAGAGAGAAAGAGACAATGAGAGAGAAAGTGAGAAATCACCCCCAGGGGTGATGGCCATACCAAAATCCCTTTTTCTCCCTTCTCCTTCCAGGATCTTGGGCATGTGCGCACATGTGCCCAGCGTGATTTTGAAATCACCAAGTCTAGGACTTGAACCAAGACTGGCCATGTGGGAGTCCAGAAACGTAACTGCTATGCCATCTGCTGGTCCCATGTTTGTTATTTTAAGTCAAATGTTAATAAAATGAATTTATTAAGTAAAAGGCCAGTGTTTGGAACATGGGGATTCTGTGTGTGCTGCTTTTTCTATTTCCCTCCTTTATGGAAAATATGTATTGCTTTTGCAATCAAAGAATTTATGAAAACATATCACTAAACTTAGTAATTGTATATCTTCAGAAATTATGTATAAATTTTCCTATGGGGACGTTTTGATATTTCCATATAACATCAGCTATTTTTTTAAGGTATATGAGTCATAATTAGCAAACCAAAGTCTATAGTGTACTAAAGGAGCTTTTGATCATGCATCTTCTCACAAAAGTGAAGTTTTGTGCAGTTATATCGGTGTCTAACTTTGACACTCATTGTTTTAAGTTTTTAAAGTGCTAAATGAATGTATCATACATATGAGACAAGTAATATAAGAATATTCCGGTTTCCCTTCAAAGACCTAAAGAAAAAAGGAATGGTCCCGGCATGTTAGTCCTTACACCTACTCGAGAGTTAGCTCTTCAGGTGCAAGCCGAATGTTCAAAATATTCATATAAAGGTCTGAGAAGGTAAGTGATTTCTTTGGCCATTCCCATACTAATATTATAATGTTTTAAGCACTCATAGCTTTATGCATCTTCTCCATTACCATTCGCACATTTAGAGACTCTGAATGACTCAGGTGTTTACCACTAATCCAGATCAACGCTAGCCAGAGCAGGAGGATGAAGTCACGGCACAACCATGGTTCCTTCGTACATACCACTGTGGATTGATGGGTATAGACAGTTCTCGGAAAAGAACAGATAACTGCTATCTAAGTTATGTTGGGATAGTCTTTGTTGGTATATGAACTTCTTGATTTTCTGGGTTTTTTTAGTGTTTGTATATATGGTGGTGGAGATAGAGATCAACAAATACAAGACCTAACAGAAGGCACAGACATCATTATTGCAACTCCTGGAAGATTAAATGATCTACAAATGAATAACTTTGTCAACTTGAATAGTATAACCTACCTGGTAATCATGGAGTAGGGGTTTGGGATTCTGGGAGAAAAAATAGCTGAGCACTTGTCAAAATAGTGTTGTTTGTTTAATTTTCAATAGATGCTTGCACTCACCAGAGAGCACCAACCAATGGGGCATGATCGTGCCACAATCCTTTTTCCTCCATTTCTTGGTCTCATCAGTATTTGAGGCATGCATGCACATATGCCTGGTGTGCTTTCCACGCCACTGGGGACCGGATTCGAGCCACGGTTGGCCATGTTGGATCATGCTTTCTACGCACAGCTGCCTTTAGCCAGTGTGCTACAGGACTGGCCCCAAAATAGTTTAGAAATTGTTATTTCATAATGATTTAGATTCTAGGAATATTTCCCATTCCCTTTAGCATGTTAAAAGATAGTTAAGATCATTCTATTTCAAAATATTATAATACATGTATATTTCATAAATTGTAGAAAATGTAGATAAATAAAAATGAGTTAAAATCTATTGGGTCATCAGAAAAATTATGACATATTTTTCTATATAAAAATGTATCATGACTTTTCTGACAATCCAATATTTGAATATAATAAACTTTAAAATTTTCCCCATTAAATTTTTTTTTAATTTATTCATTCATTTATTTTCATTTGACCAGAGAGAGACATACAGAGAGAGAGAGAGGGAGAGAGGGAGGGAAAGTGAGAAAGCAAGCCACCAGGTCTGGGACTCGAACTGTGGTCGGCCATATGGGAGTGTCCAGCGCCTTAACCACCATGCCACCTGCTGGTTCCCATCCCATTAAATGGTTTTTGAAATAGTTTCAGAAGCTATTACAAAGCCAACTAGAAACAAATCAATCTATGTTACTAATAATTACAGATGGCTTAATTATTTTGACTTCTGTGGAAAAGTTGAAAGTGGCTGAAGTAGTTAGAAGTAAAAACTTGTCAGTGTTATATTTATAAAGGGAGCATATCCATTCGCTGCCTCCAACACCTAATCTAGCATGTTCTTCATTGTTAATGTAGGTTTTAGATGAAGCAGACAAGATGTTGGACATGGGATTTGAACCTCAGATAATGAAGATTCTGTTAGATGTGCGCCCAGACAGGCAGACTATTATGACAAGGTAGGTGTATCCCTGATAACTGTGCAGCATAGACATCAGGAATAGACTCCCTTCCTGAAACAGAAAAGGACAAAGTGTTAACGGTGACTGCTTTATTCTTGACTATTGGTTTCCTAAGTTACAGATAGAGATTTCCTTCTGATGTTAAGGTCTGACATTTCAGTAAAGGATCACCTCTCCTTAGAGCTCAACACTCAATTACTGAATACTTTTTTTAGCCCAAGATAAATCTGAGCAAACAACTTGTTATATTTGAATGCAGAGTAATCTTTAAGAACTAATTCCTCCTGGGCTTCTACCTTTTATCTTCAGGAACATTAAGGATAGTGTAGGGGCCCAGCAGCTGGCATGGCAGTTATGTTGCTGGGCTCCCACATTACCAACCACAGTTCTAGTCCCAGATCTAGAGGCTTGAAAATCACAACAAGTGCATGTGCATGTAGGCCCAAAGTCCTGAGAGGAAAATGGAAAAGGGATTTCAGCATGGCCATTCCCCTTGGGAGGTGATTTCTCACTTCCTCTTTCACCGTCTCTGTCTCTGGTGAGCACATGCACCCTAAAGCAAAAACCTCTTTTAAAAAAATTAGTGTATAATGGAGGAAGTGTACTAGATTCCCTTACTTTTTTTCTTACAAATAATCTTCCCGATTCAAGAAAAATGAAGTTGAATTTCATTGTAATAAGTATGGAGATATGAAAGGTCGTCATGAAGCTTATCTGTAAAATCTACATGATCAAAAAGACAGGAAGTACTAAATTTCTGAATTTGTCTTTAATTAGTAACTTGTTGCATAGCATGCTTTAGAGAATTTAGGAATATTTGATTTACGATGATTGTCTTTTTTTTTTCCCTGAGAGGTTTTTGCTATAGGGCACATGCACTCACCAGAAAGACAGAGAAAGACAAAAAGCGAGAAATCCCCCCAGGAGGGATGGCCACACCACAATCCCTTCTCCATTCTCTTCTCTGGATCTTAGGCATACACGCACACATGCCCAGCGTGAGTTTAAGCCACTGGGTCCGAGACTCAAACAGTGGTTGACTACATGGGAGTCCAGTGACAAAGCCATTATGCCATCTGCTGGTCCCGATTTGCAATATGTTTTTAATATTGATGTCTTGGGTCGGCAGGTGGTGTGGTGGTTAGAGGCACTGGACTCCCATGTGGCTGACCACGGTTTGAGTCCTAGACTTGGCGGCTTGCTTTCTCTCTCTCTCTCTCTCTCTCTCTGTCCCTCTCTGGTCAAATTAAAAGAAAGAAAGAAAGTTAAATAAAATAATTCTTTAAAAATATATATTGGTATCTCTTGTTTTATTTCTAGTGCAACTTGGCCATGTGCTGTTCGTCGACTTGGACAGTCTTATTTGAAAGAGCCAATGATGGTCTATGTTGGTACTTTGGATCTAGTTGTAAGCTTGTTTTTTATTACTACTCTATTTTTTCTTTGTTACTTTAAAATTTATTTTATTATCATTATTAAAAAATATGTTTTAATATGGAAATTTTAAACATATAGCTAACTTTGGCCTTATGATATATTCTGCCTACTCCGTAGTTTTACAGAAAATTCCAGATGCATATAATTTATAGTTATTTTAATATTTGTCTAAAGATTCATTTTAACATAGCTATAGTACCATTATCTCACATCGGGCATTTTAATAATTCCTTAATGCCATCAACTACATTGTCAATGTTTCTGTTTTCCTAATATCTCATTTTTATTAACCCTGTTAGAATCAGATGCTAAACACACATCTACATATGTGCATATATGTCTGGTGTTCTCTTTTTATGAGGTCATAAAATTTGTAAAATCGATTGTTGAGTTTAGATGTTGTCAACCAGACCCCTCATTTATAAAGTTCTCTGTTGGCCTTTCAATTGATCATTATTAATAATGACTAGTCATTGCCTAAATACATTATTTCACTGGGGATTTAAAAATAGTCAGTTTTTTTTTCAAATAAAATGCTTTCTTTGAAATTTTTGTATTTAATTGTTAGAATACTCACTGCATTAAGGCTCTTGAGTCATAAAGCAATCATCCTTCATTGGAAGAATACCCAAATTCAGGATGATTGTTTTTGTAAGCTTCACCTCTCCTCAAGGCTATTTTCTTTTCTTACAGTGGTAACTAATTGCTTTCTGCATACCCTGCCAAGCATTGAAGTATTCTCAACTTATTTTGGCATATAAGTAATAAAAACGGATGGCTAAGCTACATTTTTAGTAGAGACAGGTCGTTTTGCTAGGATCTCTACCTTTTTGTTAGCAGCTTCAATACCTTAACTAAAGCTAGGAATAAGATCTATTTTAAACTGATGTACAGGGCTTCGCCCTCAATATCGCTGTGCCATAATCATTGTGTCCTTTAGGCTGTAAATACAGTGAAGCAAAATATAATCGTCACTACAGAGGAGGAGAAACGGACTCATATCCAGACTTTCCTAGAGAGTATGTCACCTAAAGACAAAGTCATTGTCTTTGTCAGCAGAAAAGCTGTGTAAGTAGTTTTTCTTTGTATTTACATTATAGTTATCAGTCCAAATGATTTACTTAGGCTTACTTCTATTTTTATATTTCCATTGGGAATAGTATATTTGTTATGTAGTTTTAGACTTTTGCTATTAGAAGTAAAAGTAGTGAATAGATAGTGGTATTAGATCAAGTGCCTAAGATTACTGACTTTATCTTTTGCTTCAGAGCTGACCACTTATCGAGTGACCTGATTCTTCGACATATATCAGTAGAATCTCTGCATGGCAACAGAGAACAGAGTGATCGGGAGAAAGCTTTAGAGAACTTTAAAACAGGTACATGTAATTAATATGTAATTAATATTCATTCCAATTTAAGGTAAGTCCAATACCTGGACTTGACTGAGTGCCATCTTTTCATAGAACTTAATTATGTCCTGAGCTTGCATTTCACAACAATACTTGTCAGAGCTCCATCTATCAAAATGCCTCTAAGATGGGACCAGCAGTTAGCGTAAGGCTATGTCGCTGGACTCCTGTGTGGTTGACTGCGGTTTGAGTCCTGGGCCCTGTGGCTTGAACTCAGGCCAGGAGCGTGTGCCCAAGATCCCAAGAGGAGAATGGAAGAGAAGGGATTGCGGCATGGGCATTCCCCAGGGGGTGATTTCTCACTTTCTGTCTCTCTCTTGTCTCTGGCGAGCGCATGCACCCTATAGCAAAAACCTCTCAAAAAAAAAAAAAATCGTCTAAGAACTAAATAC